TAGATTTTGGACAAAGTCGGAACATCTGAGGGGGTACTTTATGGGAGGCCGTTTTTATATTTTATGGAAAATATCTGTTATTTATGTTTGGAGAGGAAAATTGTTCAAATAAAAGTTACTTCTAATATTATTATCTGTAATTTTTGTTTTATGTAAAAATTTCCTGAAATGGTCCGTATTCGAGAAATTTGACAAAATGTGCAAAATTCTGATTTTTAATATGAAAGTTTTTGAAATAAAAGTTGTTTGCGATATCGATCTCTATAATTTTTGTTTATACATGATTTTTCTAAAATGGACCGTAATGAAAAAATTGTAGGAAATTAAAATTTTTCAGTATTTTCGTTTTCCATGAATATCTATAGAAACATGTTTCGAGGTAGATGTATGTGGACAATGTATATATTTAGTTTATCCTCTAAACATTTATATAACTAGATAGGAAAGTCATGTGTTGGACACATCAGATTTTTTAAGTACCTATTTGAAGAGTTTAAACTGTTTTGATTTTGTGTTTCCCATTTTTGGATGTTTTTTTAAAGGCTTTAAATAATTAAAGTGTGGTAATTTCTTCAGCAATTTTATTATGAAAATAAAAAAAACTATAAAATATCTAATTGTGCTTGGAAGTACTTGCAATTTTAAGTTGAGTTAAATCATTTATATAGAGAATGAATAAAATGGAACTCAACAAAGAAATTCGTATATCTATATTACAAATTATTCCCCCCTGAGGGACTTCCAACTTTTATACTAAACTTGAGAGTCCTTAGTAGTTCCAAGGGCGGCTCCGAGACGAATTTTCGGTGGGGGCATTTAGCCATTCCCTTTTTAGCATATATTTTTAAATAAAAGGCTTATAAATGGTAAGGATTTTCATCTCGAGCATGGGCGAAGTTAGGGGAGGGCTTGGGGGGGCTAAGCCCCCCCAAAAACCAAATTAGCCCCCCCAAAAATAATTCGAACATTTATCGCACATCTACTCATACATTTCAGATTTTAGAACAGAAATTAAAAAATAAAAAGAATCGTGCCATTTGATTGATTCTGCAATTTTACATTTAGCTCAGGAGGCAGTGAATTTTTTTCGTACCTACTCATTTTTCCAGTACGTGTATATGAGTAACAAAAAACAAAATTTTTGAGTCTGACTCTTATTTTCCCAGTCATAAATATTATACATTTACTAAACTAGAACAAAAAGTTTATAAAAATAGCAGTTTGGATTATCTCAGATAGTGGAAAGTGAGTGTGGCATAAAATTTAGCATATAAATTGATACAATCATGAAATGTTAATAATAATGTCTGGCTGATTTACGAAATTGGCAAATGAGTCTGGTAACATCTTCAAAATCGAAAAAATATAATATTTTTGCTTTTATTTTCCCGGGTTTGAAAATTTGTCACGTAATAGATAATATTGTAATTTTACACCTCTATTTTATAGCCGATCAAATGCTGTTATTTTAAAACGTTTCCATGACAACTAGAAAAATTTCCGTTAATTTTCCTTTTGGTGGGTACCCTAAACGAAATTATACTGAAAATTTTTTTGAAAGTTGAGAAGCCCTTCCATGCATAAAATATTACGACGCAACGCGATAGTGTGATTAAAAATTTGCCGTTTTAGTGGTTAATATTTTATTTAATATCAATTATAACTAGGTAGAAATACACTACATTTATTTTAAGTAAAATAATAATGAGGTTTTTCGCGTCAACTAAACGACTTCAAATATGACAAATGGTCATGGTATGGCCACAGCATTTAAAAATATATGTTTTATATGCTGTGGTATGGCCACCTTTGAAAATTTGATTTTAGTCGTTTTAATGTATGTCTGTCAAGTTTTGAAATTTGGATATTTTGGTGTAAAATTTTCTTACCCAATACCACATGTGCTTAAATTATTATAAGTAAATTTTTGCTCACTCACGCATATTTTAAGAAACTTATCCATCGTCTTCGAGTAAATTTCAAAATATTCTTAAGTTTGAAAAAATGTCCGGAAATAATTTAGTCACTAGTGGTATTCTAAGTGAAAATACACGTCTGGCTGAAAATTACAATCACGAAGGCCTGCCAGACTCACAAGTAGTGTCTGACCGAAGGTTCGGTTACGGTTTCGGCCAACTTCGGCTTAAAATTAGAGTTTCGACTACAGTTTCGGTTTCGACGGAAAACTGGCCGAAACTGCAGCCGACAGCAAAACTACTTTCGAAAGTTTTCGTATCACACTTGGTTGTGTCCTGCACAATGGCGACTGTGCCGGGTGCCATTCTTACACAGTGCACGTACACACAAACATCTCTGCTTTGTTTCAAGTGAACAGTCTTTAGTGCTCCTGGCCTAATTTATTCGGATCAAAGGAGCAATTTTTTAGGTGAAAACGTGGAAAAATATTTTTTTTTACCCTACAACGTTAGACTGTTTAATTTAATTATAAGTAACAAACATATTTAATCCGCTGAATTTGTTTATTTTTTTTTTTTTATAAAAATTATACATTATATATAATTCCCTTCATAATACTATTTTTTGTTACAAAATATCTACTACAGATGCAGAAATGATAGATACTTATTTGTAATTCACTTACTTTTTTTTTTAATTTTAAAAGTAATAAAAAAAAGAATGTCCATAAATTTATTAATGGCTACTTTTGATCACTAAAAATAAATAGGTAATAAGTAAATGTAGCTTAAATTTATAATACGAGTTAATTAGTCTAAAACAATAAGATACTGCAAATTTCAATAAGAGATTGCCTTAAAACAAAGTTCTTGTTTCTGTTTCGGTTTCGGCCGAAACTAAGAAAGGAGCCGAAATTTAGTTTCTGTTTCGGTTATAAAACCATATTTTGGTCGGACTGACAAGCCAAATAGTTAAACGAGGAGAGGAATAGCAATCGAACGTGCCGAATTTAGCGCGCCTGGCGATCATTAGATGAGTCTGGCAAGGCTTTCGGGGTGTTCCACATTAGCCAGATTGTATTTGAAGTTGTTTTCATATTATACATGTTTCTAGTAGTGAGAACACTTGTAACAGGGATCCTTACTGGACAATGAAAACTAAAAGGACACCTTAGTAAACTGAGATTAGTAGAAGATAGTGACTGCAGATTCTGTGAGGAGGACGAAACCTTCGTTCACATTCTAACTGAATGTGTAGCACTCCAATCAAAGGGCACTATACCTAGGAGCATATAAAATAGAAGAGGGAAATTTACCTAACTTGAAGCCACTCCAAATCCTACACTTCCTTGAGAAAACATAATTGGAAGGATCGTTATAGGCATCGAGACATTTCCGTGCTGCATAAGCGACAGAAGGGGGCACAATAGATCTTTTAGGTCGCAGTGTATTAACACCCCATTCCCAACATAACATAGTGAGAAAACTGCAAAAAAATGAAATCCACCAATCACAATTCATATTTTGGACACCCAACTACTATTATTTTTAAAATTTTAAATTCTGTCAGTATATTTTTTAGACATTAAGATTACATACGTTAAAATTAGTTATTTTTGTTTAGAATCGATAAAAAATGGCATTTTTATTTTTATTTGGGCCACATTTAAAAAAATGAATTTTAATCAAATTGTATGAAACTGATTTAATTACGAGTATTAAAACTAAAAACCTGGAGTGGAGTGAAGCAGAGGACAGAGCATCTAGATTCCACGCGAATAGCCTGGGTTCGAATCTGGACAAGGGGCTTATTTTATGTTTATTATATTTTATAAATTAATAAAATTCATAAATTATTTTAAAATTAGTTATTTTGTCTAAACCTAAAATAATTTTTTAAATTTTTATATTTTCCTTAGTGGTTCATAGAAAAAATATACTCTACAACTCGAGTGAATTGTCCATATCTACTCTTGTTGCACAAACTACTATTTCATGACTGCGAAAATGAGGAAATTTTTTAATGAATTATTGTGATGAACATTTTTCAGGTTTTTTACTTGATATAAATATATATTATATATGATATTTTATCCATTTTCATAGATTCGCCAGAATTTTTTTACTTAACTTCAGTATACCTCTAGAACTATTATATATTATATGACTAGGGCTAGGGCTTTAGCCCCCCCAGATCTGATGACATAACTTCGCCCATGATCTCGAGGGGCCGTGGCCCCCATAGCCCTTGAGTAGTTCTTACCATTTGCTTACGTACTGAAAGATAATATTGTATCAGCGCTTCATGTTTAATTCCGTAAACTCAAAGTTTTTGTAACAGTACTGTATGATTGATGCAATCAAACGCCTTAGTCAAATCACAGAATATATTCGCTATAGCTTCATTAAAATTACTTTTAGAGTAAACAAGAGGCGATCCAATCCTGATAATTGATATAGGCAACCAATAATGCATATGTGTGATTTACGATGGATTTTCGCCCAAAAATTCCATAATGCGTATGCGTTGTAGTGCCGCCAAAGACATTTTGTAATGTCTTTGAGTGCCGCTAAATATCGCAGATCTGTGCCATTTTTAGTTAGGTCGGCAGGGGGGCTATTTTCAAACTCGAGAGAATTCATTTCTCTCAAGAGAAATGTCATACGTCAACGTAAAACCGTATTTTTAGGGCTCTTAGGGCCAGTGTGAACTCACTGACTGTTTCTCTCGGTTTATTTAGAGAGAATTAAAATCTTCCTAAGAATTTTAATCCTCGATGCCTTTAAAAATAACATTTCCACATTCACGTATGACATTTCTGATGAGAATCTTGAGAGAAATGAGTGCTCCCATACTTTGAAAATAGCCCCCCAGTGCAAAAGCATTTCCAACTTTTACTTCTGTTCTAGTAGCATTACAGATTTCATTAATTAATTGTGATTTCGGATAGTTTAAAAATAAAAAATAAACAAATGTCCATTGAACAACACGAACTTTAAACCGGAGTTGTTTTCATGTTGATTTTACGGATCACATGGAGGTATAATAAACGATCGCACTTATGATGTCACTGTCATTGTCAACTTCAAGAAAAACGACAAGACAAAAAAAGAAAAGCAGCAAATTCTATGTTTCGTGGTTCTAACCTCCGGCCCTAGTTGGTTGGTTTTTGCATATAAATTTGTGATTTAATTAATCTGCATTGTATCAAAAGTAAAAGAAAAGTAATTATGGCGTTTAATTTTCCAGCCTTTTCGTACATAATAGCTCTCATAGTAGACGCATTCCTTATTTTCTTTTCATTATTTCACGTAATAGCTTTCGATGAGTTAAAAACTGATTATAAAAATCCTATTGACCAATGCAATAGCTTGAACCCGGTGAGTATATCCTAAATTATAGTTTTAAATAGATCTAAATAAACATACATTGTATTTAATCGGTAATTTATGTATAATTAATGATGCTGTATTCAGTTAAATACAGTTACTTGAAGAGGCAGGCCAAAGAACTTGACTAGTCATATGAAATTTTAAAATAACTCGAGTAGTTTAGTAACATTCTCAGCTCTTTAAACAGTTTGTGAATCTGTGACAAATAAGTCTATTTACTGTTTTTATATATAAAATTTTAATGATATACATTTTTTGTTGCAGTTGGTATTGCCTGAATATCTCCTACATTTATTGTTCAATATTCTATTTGCTGCTTCGGGAGAATGGTTTTCCCTTTGTTTAAACATTCCTCTTATTGCTTATCACATCAATAGATACAGAACAAGGCCTGTGATGTCAGGATGTGGTATTTATGATCCTACCAGTATTATGAATGCAGATATACTTACCAGGTGCCAAAGAGAAGGATGGATAAAACTAGCTTTCTATCTCCTTAGCTTTTTCTATTATCTCTATGGGTATGTCATAGCTTTAGAGAATGATCATATTGAACATACGTGAAGTTAATATCTTATTAGAGACTGTTTTTGTGGGTGTTGTCCCAGTGAACATTTTATCACTTTAAATGCATTATTTAAATTGTCCTTTATGTTTGGTGCATTAATTAACTATTTATTTTAAATATGGTATATTAAAGCTTACAGCATTGTATATATTTAAATAATTAGGTCTAGGTATACATAATTCATATTTTAAATAACTAAATGAAGGGTTCTTTTGAAGACAAAATTCATAGGGTCTCTAGAAATGATGCAATTAAATTTAGTTTAAAATTTTTCTGTTGTTCCTTTTCTATGAAGTCACTTAGACAAAATTCATTATACAATGTTACAGTCACAGTATTTCTAATAAGTCAAATATGCAGAATTTTGTCAGTGAAAATATAAACTATAAACATAAAAATTAGTTCAAGAAAAGCATCCATTATTTCTAAATATCATAATAAATTTTTTGGTTTTAGCTTTACCCATAGAATTGACTGATTAAAATTAATATTACTTTTATGACAATTAAGGTGTATGATGATGAAATTATGATGTTCACTAGTTTGGAAACTCTTTGTTTTGTAATATTTTATTTAGTTGACACAAATAGTTTTTAAATAAAATCCATATTTTGTGGCTTATTTTCTCGGAAATGTAGATAATTTTTATAATAGAACAATTTGGATATTTTCCAAATATTAAGAATTTTTAATTAGATATCTTATTTAACAGTCATATAAACAGTAGTTAAGTGCATTATGATGGCCAAAACTCATATATTTTTGTTATAAAAAAAATAATATGGTATTTTGTTGTTTAAGTTTTACAATTAATTTTTATAAATGTTTCTGATAGGTGTCTTTAAACAAAAATAAGGCAAAAAATTGTTACTGGCGTTTGTAACTAATCTAAACTTATGTTAAAATACATAGTTTAATCCCATTTTAGGACACAAAAAAAGTTACCTCTCTTTGAAGGTAGATACTTGATAACTATTGTTAAATTTCACATCCATATCTTTGTTGATCCTCTTTATGTTTCTTTCTTTCAATTGACTTTAATCATCCTATATATCCTTTGTTGATCCTCTTTATGTTTCTTTCTTTCTTTCAATTGACTTTAATCATCCTATATATCCTTTTTTTACTAATAAGTCTACAATCTTTTCTACAGGAATACCTTTATAGCTTGACACCTTATAGTAAGATCTTTTTGTTTGGTGCCAATTTAATAAGACATTCCTCAGAGTTTTGAACAATCTTTTATTTGATTAAAGAGTCTCCCAGGTGCTTGATGGTGCCCAATAGGTCTTTAAAAAAACTGTTGTAAATAGTTCAGCCTTATTTAATGTTGTATTTAGCCCAACAAATTAAATGAACCTGTAGCTTGGGTAATTTTAATCCCATCAGTGAACATTATGTTAAATAATATTTAAATAGGAAGACAAAGAATTATTATGGTGTTTAGAAAGACAATTACAATAAATTCCTTGTGAAATTTATAAGCCTGTCTCTAAATTTTATTTTAGTTTGTAAGTTTAAACTGCTATATAGCAGAAAAATATTGTTGATTCTTATATTTATACATTTTTGGATGCCCTGATAAGTCTAAAGAATTTACTAAAAATATCTTATATCTTCCAGTTTGATAGCATCATTTAGATTTAGGACATTTTTTTTTGTTAGATAACTTATTTAACTAGTAATTTGTAGATTGGCAGTATTTCTAATTGAAGACCTTTTTTTAAAAAACATGTCCAAAACCAGATTTTTTCAGAAAACAAATACATTATACCAGTCTCAATATATTTTGCAGAAATGCTCTATATTTGATAGTGAATATCTCTGTTTCTGTGTTACTTTTGTAGTAAATCATCAGTTATAATAATAATTAATAATAATTATAATAATACTCTCCCTAATTCACCACCTTATGAGTGAATTTCAACCCCTGAAGCCGACTGAGCCAGTAAATACAACTTAATTCAGGCATTTTTGGGCATGTGTTGTTTTTTGAAAAAAAAGTCTCCAATTGTATCTTACCTATTTCTCTTTTTAAATGTTTAATACTTAAACAGATGATAATAATATATTTTTTTATTTGTATTAGTCTTAATACTGTAATGTTTACTATTATTATCGAGACTATCTCTTCTCTTTGTTAGAACAATGATAAGGTCTAATATACAGGGTTTCTAAGATACCTACATCATGATTGCAGTTTTTAAAATTTGTTTAGCTCAATAGATATATAGAATGTTTAGAAGTTTCTGGCAGAAACAATTATTAGGAAAAAACTGGTACATGTTGATATGATTGTTTGTTTTTGTAGTAACAAAAAAATTAAAGACAAGAGTAGTGGGAGAGTTTATCTGTTGAATATTCGAATGAAGAGTAAAAAGATCTATTATCTCTTAAATTCTGTGTAAAACATTATTACTTTTAATAAATACTAAGTAATATAGAAAGTAGAACACCCACTAGAAGAGATTGATTTTATTTTATCATTTATCTTTACACAAATCTTATAGGAAGAGAAATAGCATTTCTTACAAATTATTTAGATAATCCTTTAATAAATGTATGTGTATAGGTAGCTATGAAATATAACAAAATATCTGATAAGCCATAATATTAATACCACTGATAACAAATGGTTTGTCAATGTTAAAGTGGTCAGTATACAAATTTTATTTTTCTTATTAGGAAACCCTGATAGTCCAACTCACTCCTACCCAGTTTTTTGATCATTAATTCTGTAAATTGTTAATTCGCGAGTTCTTTTTTAGTAAACTTTTTTTGGTGAATTGATCATGACTCTAAATTACTATCAGGAAACAATTGTACCATATGAAATCAATAATTATTGTTTACTAATTATACAAAATATAGATCAATTTGTCTACCTTGTGGTATTGGTTAATATGGTTATGACAAAAAAAAAATTCATCTTTTTACTCTTCAGAAGAACAGAACCGAAATCCCTAATGTTTTCCCTATTTGTTCCAGAATGATATACGTGTTAATTTCCAACTGACGGCAGCCGACCGTTTCATCAAGACAAAAAAATCATTAGTCGTTAGTAACAAATACAAAGACAGTTGGGAATTCGGTTCTCGATATTATGCAACCTTATGTTCTGATGATGAAAGACTCTTTGAGGATAGAAATGCATAATTAGCTGAACTGACCTACCCATCAATTGCAGGTATGCTGTAAATTTGTTTTTTTTTGTTTATTTTCATTTTTTACCTATTGTGCATAGCCTTCTTTGGGTTTTATTTAGTAGGTTAACATTCATTGGACATTCTGTAAAATATTGAATTGTTTTTATGTATATTTGATTCATTTTGTACTAAAATATAATAATAAAATACTAAATACTAAAAGTATTTTATTTGACGTTAACCACTGAGACGATTACATTTTATAAATTGTTAAATTCATTTCTAACTTAAAACTTTGTTAATATGACTGAATATTCGCTGATGTGTTACAATTTTAATAAAAATAATCGAAAACGAATGCCTTTTTATTTATTGCAGAACTGACTATTATCTGGATGTTCGAAATGATTATTTTCATATCACGGGAGTAATTAATTTAAATGCTGGTCAGTCGCGGAAGTTTTTACTCCGGCAACTAAATTCCATCACCAAGCCACAACCTTTGCTTCAATTTGACATACATTTTTTTATAGACGATAATCGTATGTAATAACTAAAGGGGCGTTTGATTTGAAACTCGATCGAGCGAGCGTCGAGGAGACCGAGAAGTGATGACGTCACAATAGAGCATTGAATCAAATCAAATAAAACAAGTAAAAAACATAACCTCGCTTTTTTGTGATTCTTGTTTCTGGTTTGTATGTTAAAATAGTGAGCAAAAAGTAAAGAAAATGGAAAAACTTTTAATAATAAGGGGTAATGGCCCTGAAATGCAGCATTTACCACAAATGCCCGATTCACTCTCCTACTCCATGACTGTGATTACTGGTGATTAGATCTGGACAGAAAAAATGTATTTTCCAAACACACATTTTGTGTTTTTTTATGATGAATAATTTTAGCTATAAGACAAAAGCGGCTAAGTAATTTGTTGAGTTCTTGTCTGGTCTTTCATTTTGAGATTCAAATTTGTTTGTAAGTTAATTAAAAAGAGATAGGTAGAGACAAAGACAAATTTCTCCCTCTTCTCGATCTTTCTGCTCTGAGAACATCGAGCTCGCTCTATGTTCTCGCTCCAAAGCGTAACAAACACTTTAGGGATCTCTCGGAGTGTCAATTCAAACACTTTTGAAGCGCTCGGAGATCTCCGATGATCAAATCAAACGCACCATAAAAGGGCCTTTTTATACTGAAGTGCCAGAAGTTGTGTCAGTCTGAGAAGCGGCACCCGATTTTTTTTTTTTAAGGGTATTATCGGACAGATTTTTATGTTTCGGCATCAGCTTGACTTCTGTGTATCAATATCTGCAGTTAAGCCGAACTGCGGGCGGTTACTACTTGGTTGGGTGACCATTTTTAGATAAAAGCGCATTCGGAAGGTAATGGGTTCGACCCCACTGTTGCATGACCTATGAGGATTTCTCATAACAATAGGCAAATGCTGGACTGGATCAGTAATATCCTCTCGGGTACCTACCAAAAACCCTTCCATCCCATCAAATTCCTTCAGTACAGCTGAAGAGGCTAGGAAAGCCTATTGTATGTAAAAAAAACTTCGGAATTTTGACTCTAATATCAAAACCGAGGAAATAAATTTTAGTTTTCATGCAGATGTAAATCAAATTAAGAGCAAACCGAACATCTTGAAAATTTATAATTCCTTCTGAGTATTTTTACAGCAGGGACAGAAGTTGGAAAGGCTTTTGCTAGGTAGAGAGATGGTAAACGTTAAAATATCGTTCCATCCATACAATTTGTATAAATGGAACGATATTTTCAGAAGTGGTGTAGATCAGTGCTACACTTTCAATGCAAAGGAAAAGACCTAGTATATAAAAGGCACAGTTTATTGCTAAAGAATCAGTTAGCTCACTTGAATGTTCCAAAATAACATCCACTCCAGGGATACAAATTTAGGATGCGCAGAAGACTGCTGTTTGAATATAGTAGACGGTTGTCATATATTGTATTGGTTATGATTTGATTCTGTATGCGCCAGGGATACAAATCCGAGTTGCGCAGTGTATAAACTGGAACATTGAGATCAAAAGTGCCGACGCAGAGTGCGCGATCTGATTCTTTAGCTATAAACTGTGTAAAA